AGCAGTCCATGCTTCACTGAAACTTGGCATAAAAATTGACAGGTGACCCAGTGCTGGGGAGGCAGAGCAGGTGGAGTTCTGTGAGTTCAAGGTCAGCCTGGTCTATGTAGTCAGTTCCAGGCCAGCTGGGGCTACAGGGAGACCCTGTCTCAAAAAGACCGAAAAAGTGGACAGGTAATCCTTGGTCCTCAACCTCTTGAATGTTGGGATTACAGGTTTGACAATGACCATCTTATTTATTAAAACCTGACAGCCTGGGCAGAAAGATTGAAAGCTGACATTGCAGGTTGACCTCTGTTCCCAGCAGGCTGTGCATTGGCATTTAGCACACAGACTTTATTAGTATGGGCCTGCTAGCAAAGCATATGGAGAAGTGAGGACAGGGTGGGGCAGAGAAACCACTTGAGTTGCTCAGGCAGTCCCCTAGGTTAGTTTTGACTGATCCCAAAGGAAAGCTCTGGAGTTAGCTAGACCCATCAAAAATTTCCCTAGCCTGGATGAAGTTGATACTGTGATTGATTCATTAATGAATGTTGCTGGGCGTGGTGGTGCTTGCCTTTAATCCCAACCCTCCGTAGGCAGAGGCAGGTGGATCTCTGTGAGTTCAAGGCCAGCCTGGTCTACATAGCGAGTTCCAGGTCAGCTGGGGCTACAGGGAGACCCTGTCTCAAAAAAGACCAAAAACAAAACTAAAAAATGTAATGACTGTTGTTGCACTGGGAAGGGTATACCCTTGATCAAGGGAGGTTTGCTGCAGCTGAGCCACCTCTGAAGGGACTGCCATGTAAGGGCTGTCTGCTCACAGGATTCTCAGCTGCTAGGACAACAAGTCCTAGCTTGAAGTGAGGACCCTTGGCAGTACGTTAGGGTGTCCATTGGTCTTAGCTGACAGATGAAGACAATGACTCATCCTAATTGAGAATTCCTACAGCTTGGACAGGGAACTAGCATTTGATAAGGCCTCACCCAGAAAGGTTGCTGATTATTCATCTTTCATTTTCTCTGATCAGCAAACACTTGGAGGCTTTACGAATTTGTATGAGTCATTTTATCTTCTCATTTACAAAATTAGTATTTGTTGTTTGCTTATGGGTGTTAGAAATTGCTTCCCCCTGATCACATTACTGGAGTTCTAAATATGGGTACCAGCTGAATTTTTTTTTCTTTTTGAGACAGGGTCTCCTTGTAGCCCCAGCTGGCTTGAACTTACTATATACACCAGACTGGCCTTGAACTCACTGAGCTCCGCCTGCCTCTGCCTCCTGAGTGCTGAGATTAAAGGCGTGTGCCGTCACTCCCCGATTTTTCTTTTTTTTTTTGGTCTGAAAAATTTTTTAAAAATCCTTCACCAGCTGTTATGGATGGCTCTTAAGCTTATCTGCACATGCATTTGCATCTTGTATCATGGATACTGCATATCTTCAAAGTTACTACATAATGCCAAGCTGTTTCCAATGATGGTGCACTTATTTCCAGTTACATCAGACTTAATGTTTGACAATCTGTTGGGTGTGTATTAATATTTTGTTGTAGTTTTAATTTGCAATTTTCTTATTGGAGTAGTCTGCTTTCTGTTGCTAATAACAGAGCATCACAGACTAGGTAACTTTATAAAGAAAACAAATTTGGGACTTGTAATCTCAGGACATAAAGTAGAGGCAGAAGGATCATGAATTCAAGGCCAGTTTACATTACATGACCAGTCTAAGGCCAGCCTGGGTCAACATGACACAAAAACCAGAAAAAGAAATAAAGGAAAAAGAGAGAAAGAAAGGAAAAGGGAGAGATGAGAAGAAACAAGGAAAGAAGGAAGGAAGATAGATAAATAGATTTATTGGGGTTCATAGATTGAGGGCCCAGTCTGATGATGGCTTATTTACTGGCAGAGTCCTACCGTACCACAGAATATCATATGGCAAGATACAAGGAGAGTGTGTGTATATATACACATGGGCACGTGCATGTCTACATGTGTCTTATGATCTTTCACTGTATTCCTTTAAAAAAATTTTTTTTAGTTTAGTTTTTTTTTTTTTTAAGACTGGGTCTCCCTGTAACCCCAGCTGGCTTGGAACTCTCTGTATAGACCAGGCTGACTTCGATCCCACAGAGATCTGGCTGTCTATCTCCAGAGTGATGGGATTAAAGGTGTGCACCACCATACCTAGCTCCTTTTTAAAAAAAATTAGTGTGTGTGTGTGTGTGTGTGTGTGTGTGTGTGTGTGTGGTATGTGTGTGAGTGTAGGATCAATTGTGAGCACACATGTGGCGGTCAGAAGATAACTTTCAGGAGTTGGTTCTCTCCTTCTGCTGTGGGTTTCAGGGATTGAACTCAGGTTGTTGGATTCATTGTTTTTATACAGGTTTGTAATATTACTTTGTGAATAAAAGGATTTTCATTTTCTTCCATTTTGTGGTTTGCCTCTTTATTTTAATTATAGTATAAATTGATGAATAAACTCTCTTAATATAGTAGAATAAATCACCCCATTTTTGAGACAGGGTCTTTCTGTGTAGCCCCTGCTGGCTTTGAACCACCAATTCTCCTGGCTCTACCTCCTAGCACTGGGATTACAAGTTTGTGACACTAGTATCCATGATACTGCTTGCCTCTCTGTGTGTGAATTGGCCATGAATTAGCTGTTCTACTTTATTTAAAAGAGTTTTTAAATTTTTATTTTATGTATATGAGTGTTTTGTTTGCATGTATGCAAGTGTACCACATGTGCCCAAGGAAGCCAGAAGAAGGTGTCAGATCCCCTGGAACTGAAGTTAAGGACTGATGCTAGCTGCCATGGGCATGCTGGAAACCAAACCCAGGTCCTCTGGAACAGCAGTAAATGCTCTTAAGCACTGAGTCATCTCTCAAACCCCTGATCTACTTTATTTAATAGTATCTCATGGCCCTCATTCCAGAAGCTTCCTACATCTGGGAGGAAGGAATGCTACAGACAAATTCCAAGAAGTATCTGGTCGGGTCTGGCTGGGTCCCCCACTCCATCTATTAGTTGGCTTTCTATTGCTGTAAAAAATATTTATGAGCCTGTCAATTTCAGGAGGCGGAATGTTTAAGCTGAGTTGGTGGTATATGTCTATTATCCCAGTCCTTGGGAAGCTGAGGCAGGAGGATCATGTGTTCTAGGCTGGCCTGGGATGCATAATGAGACCCTATACACAAACAAAGCACAACAAAACAAAAATACAGATTGTGGTAAAATCATTCATAATCTGTTCAATTTACCATCATGAAGTGTTTCTTATGTGTTCACTAAATATTTGTACATCTATATCTTTTCAATATATTTCTAAGCATTTCTGTATCTCTATCTTTTATATACAATTAAAAACACGATTAGAAATCTTAGAAGAATGAAAGCTTCAACCTAAATTACTTGCATGCTTTTCACATAATAGGATTCTTTTCCCTGAGCCACTAGTTATTCTTAGAAACCATGTCTACCTCCGCCTCCATGACTAAAATGAAGAGCAGACACCATCTGTCCTTAGCAGAACAGCTGAACTGGAACCCGATAGCCTGATGGGTGGAGTGTGGGAGGACAGCAGTTCTCACTGCTGATTTGCTGATTGTTGTCTGCAGTGTCTTTGCTGTATGCTGGACTGTCACTCAGAAAACGGGGTCCTCTGCTGGGCTATTCACAGCATTCCATTAGGGGATTTGGGGGAAAGAAACAAGCCACAGAAAAGATATAGGCAATATTCTGAGAACCAAAGAAAAACAACCAAGTATCCATTTAAGTTTGTATTTAATTTGGAAACTGCTTAGATTTATTTAAGTCATTCAACTAGAATGCTTATTCTATGCCCTATCTCCTTTTTGTTAGTAACACCTGAGATGTATTGAACATAAGTTTAGTTTTAAAAGTGAATGAATAACAGGCATGGTGGTGCACGCCTTTAATCCCAGCACTTGTGAGGCAGAGGCAGGCAGATCTTTGTGAGACCACAACTATATGATTTTTAACACACATAACTTTCTTATTTTCAGAATCTCAATGAAAATTTGTATTTAGAATTTTTTTTTGGTCTTTTTGAGACAGGGTCTCCCTGTAGTCCCAGCTGTCCTGGACCTCACCATGTAGACCAGGCTGGCCTTGAACGAAAGAAAGGAAGATTTATTACGGCCAGGCTACACTCATTCCTAGAGGGTCCGAGTACAGCACCTAGCCTAAGCACTCTGGTTCTTTTATACTAAACTTGTTGCTGGGCAAGCAAGTAGAATACAGAAGCCAATCATTGAGTGTTAAGCTTGAGCAATCATTATGAAGGAAATTGTCTTTACCAGTCACAAAGTTCCCTCTAAGGGGGGTTTTGTTGTATAGCTATTTTATCTTAGGAACGTCTAAATGTTGTGGGATACTTTTTTTGCATTCTCTCCGGTCTTCGGTATTGTCACTGTTTTTCATTTTGGACATTCAGATACATATACATTGTATATGTGTACGTATAATGATAGCTTACTGAGATTTTTAGTTTCCATTTCCTTAATGGCAAATGATGCTGGCATCTTTTTCACATGCTTCTTTGCCATTTGTAGGTCCTATACTGTCAATATCCTTTTACATCTTCTATCCTACCTTTTGTACATTATCTTCTGGGATTGTCTCTTTACTGTTTGCTTTTTGTTTGTTTATTTGTAGGGTTTTTTGAGATGGGGTCTTGCTCTTGTAGGCCGTGGTCGCCTGGAACTTACAGTTCTCCTGCCTCAGCTTCCCAAGTCCTGCAGTTATAGATGTGCCCTACCACACTCAGCTACTATTGTGTTCTGAGAGCTCTTTATAGTATAGATATTTTTTATCTGATATTTAGTTACAATTTTCCCCAAGCCTATAGTGTTTTCCCCCCATTCTATTAGCAGAGTCTTTCATAAAGTAAGGCTTCCTAATCAACAAACTTATTTTATGAATTGTGTTTTTGGCATCCATTCTAAATTCACTTTGTGTAGCTGTATTCATCAATCTTCCATTACTGTGACAAAGTACCTGGTCCATGTTTGCTTGTCTCTGTTGCTTTTGTCCTGTGGCAGCACAGTGCCTCATGGCAAGAGCACCTGGCGGAGGAGGACTGTTCACCAAATGGCTTCTGGGAAATAGAAAGAGGAAGAGACGGGTCTCACTCTCCCCTTCAAAAGCACACTCCTCGGTGACTTAACATCTTCCTAGTGAGACCTTACCATTTATTTTTTGAGACAGGGTCTCTCCATAGTGCCAGCTGGCCTGGAACTCACTATGTATTCCACACTGACTTTGATCTCATAGAGATCTTCCTGCCTCTGAATGCTGGAATTAAAAGCATGTGCCACCATGCCCCGAAATGTTCCACCACTTCTCAATAGCACCATAGGCTGGCATCCAAGTCTTTAACACATTGACTGTTGGAGGATACTTATCTAAACTGTTCCTAATCCCCAAGATATTTTCCTAAATTCTTCTTTTTCTTGAAAGTTTTATGCTTTATACTTTGCGATTAAGACCATGATGCATTTGAGTTAATTTTTGTATAAAGTATGGACTGGGTCCAAGTTTTCTGTTTTTGATTTCTTTTTCTTTTCTTTGCTAATGGATGTCCTATGGCTCCAGCATAATTTCTTGAAAATACCTATATTTCCATTGAATAGCTTTTGCAGTTTTGTCAAAAATCAACTAGTCACAGGTCATGTGTATTGAGTAATTTTTGAGCTTTCTAGTCTGTCTCATTAATCTGTGCCACACTATCTTTATTACTGTAACTTTAATATTGAATAGAGCAAAGTCTTCTCTTCTAGAGCTTGTTTTAGTTATTCTAGAACCTATGACTTTCCATACAAATTATATCTTGGGGAGGAGGAAGATTTGCTAGCCCGGACTGTGTATTCACTATGTAGACCAGGCTCACCTCAAAATCATGGCAATCTTCCTGCCTCAGCCTCATGAGTGCTGGGATTACAGACATACTCCACCACATTGAGCTCTGAATATATTTTAGAATGAATTGATATACAAATGTCACTGACATTTTGATAAGAATTGTATTAGGACTGGGGATGTAGCTTAGTGGTATACTACATGACTAGACTACACAAGGCCACAGGTTCAACCTCCATCCACCATCTAAAAATGTATTAAGCCTTTAGGCTGAGTGCCTTAGTGGACAGTTGCTGGAGTTTGTGTCCCTAGAACCCATGTAAATGCCAGATGAGCATGAAAGCCCACTTGTAATTCTAGGGCTTGGAACATAGAGACAGGAGATCCCCAGAGCAAGCCAGCTAGCTAGATTAGCCCGTATCAGTGAGCTCTGGGTTCAACTGAGAGATTTTTTGCCTCAATGAATAAGGTGGAGAAATCAAGAAAGACTCATGATGTCAACTTCAGACTTCCACATGTATACACACACATACACGTGCCCACACATATGTGAACACACACAGCCATATGCCGCACACATGGTGAAAGTTGTCATATTTCTTATGTTGAGTCTTCCAATTCATAAATACAGAGGTGAGGGGAATGTGGAAACCCAATTAGAACCACTCATACTGCCTTCTTAATTCGATTATGGCCAGTGGGGGTGGAGGCTGAGCTCCCAACTCCCCCATGAACCCATTGAGTGGGAGGCTTTGGATTTGTCTGGTTTTGGTGTTTGATTAGTGCAGGTCTGGTATTATACAAAAGGTTTTCTGTTATTTAAGCCACCCTTTCCCTGGACCTTTGGCTGAAATGAAAAAGCTTTTCTTGGACTTGTTTTACTTTGTCTATGGCTATTGGCAACTCTGGATTGAAGGCTTCTTTCTGTAACACTTTGTTCAGGATTTCTGGGAAGCAAAGGAGTAAAGGAAACTCACTGTCATGCTGTTCACTTCAGAAAGGGCAGCAGAGATGGCTCAGCAGTTAGGAGCACTTGCTGCTTTTGCAGAAGACACGGATCAGTTTCCAGCATCCACATGGTGGCTCGATATCTGAAACTCTAATTCCAGGGGATCCAATGCCCTCTTCTGGCTTCCACCACTACCAAGCATGTACATGGTGCACCTACACACAAGCAAGAAAACACTCATACACACATTTCTTCAGTGTTACTTTATTTTTACTTTTTCGGCTTTTAAAAAAATACAGGGTTGCTTGGAACTCTATGTAGACCAGGTAGACTCCGAATTCATGATATTTCTGCTTCTACCTCCCATGTGCTGGTATTATAGGTGTATGCCACCACGCCTGACTCACTAATTTCTTCTAGAAATATTTATACTCAGTGCTGAAGATGGAATATAATGTAGGTTGGATGCATAAAACAACTAAATCACTTGCAAGGAAATTTGGCAGCCAAACAACAGAAATCCTTAGGGAGATTTTTTTTTTTGCCTGGGCACAGTAATCTTTTTGATGTGGTGGTATAGCTAAATGAAGAAAGAAGGAAGGAAGGAAGGAAGGAAGGAAGGAAGGAAGGAAGGAAGGAAGGAAGGAAGGAAAGAAAGGAAGGGAGGGAGGGAGAAAGGGAGGGAAGGAGGCAGGCAGGCCTGGGATTATGTCCTAGGACAGTGAAACCCTGGACATGGGGGTAATAGAGCAGTAGGATCTCAAGGTGACCATTGCAGAAGGGGAAGGTGATTCTCACCATACGGGGAATGACTATCTTGTCATGAGCTGTAGGAGCACCTGGGGCAAGGGTCAGCCTAATGCCCCACCTCCTTCTCCACAGGACAGGGGGGCAGGAGTTGTTCATGAAGTGGGAAAAGGGCCTTTCTTTTTGTTGGGGATGGCAAATAGGGAAGAACTGAGGGCAAGGGGCCAGGATAAAGCTACTAATGCCCCACTGACCTATAATCAGGCTGATTCTCATAGTGAAAGGATCTTAATGCATCAGCCTGCGCAGGCCTGTGGCCACTCATTGTGGGCTCAGGAAGGCCCAGAAGCAGTTGTGGTAGAGGAGTTCCTCTGAGCTACACTGTGAACTCTGGGTTCTGCCTAGAGTGTCAGGAGCTGGGACTAAGCCTTTGTCCTGGTCTAGCTAATCCCACAGACAGTACCCATAGGCCTGCTTTCTGACAGAACTTCCTTCAGGGATGGGAAGGGCAGAAAAATAGCATTTATTTGATTCCTGATGAATGCCAGGTATCTTGTTGGCTTGTTTTCTGTAACTTAGATAAGCTACATATACATATAAATTCATATACATATAGATAAATTCAAAGTTTACAAGACATTTGAGAGGGGGGTGTAGTTATCCCTAAATATCTAGATATTAAACTCTGCACATTTCCAAGTCTATTATATAAAATGGTATAGTATTTGTGCAGAACTTCTCTCTCTCTCTCTCTCTCTCTCTCTCTCTCTCTCTCTCGTTGTCTTTGAACTTACTATGTAGCCCAGGCTGACCTTGAACTTGAAATCCTGCCTCAGCTTCCTTAGTAGTTGGGATTATCAGTCTATACCACCACATCCAGCCCTGCCATATACTTTAACCATCCTTAGATTACTTATAATACCTGAAAAATATAAGTGGTATGTAAATAGCTGTTATAGGTGCACGCCTTTAATCCCAGCACTTGGGAGGCAGAGGCGGGCAGATCTCTGTGAGTTCAAGGCCAGCCTGGTCTACATAGTGAGTTCCAGGTCAGCTGGGGCTACAGAGAGACCTTGTCTCAAAAAGACAAAAAAAAAAAAATACAAAAAAAGACTCACTTGTAAATAGCTGTTATATTTGTTTAGGGAATAATGGTAAGAAAAATGTATGTACAGTTGCACTATTTTATAATATTTTCTGTCTACAGTTGAATCTGCAGATATGGAACCTACACACACCAAGGGATGACTACATCAGCTTCCCCAATTATTTTTCTTTAATGTGTATGAGTGTATTGCTTGCATGTAGGTAGGTCAAGTGCCTGTGGAGGTCAGAAGAGAGCACTGAATTCCCTGGAACTGGAGTTACAGACAGTTGTTAGCTGCCATGTGGGTGCTGGGAACTGAACCCAGGTCCTTCCCAGGAGCAGCCCCACAAGCCTATGTTAAATTGGTGTCTTTATCAGTCTCACCTGGATTACGACTTGCATTGCCTAATGTTTTTCTTTGCTTCCGGACTGGTAATGTTTCATTCCTTTTTTTTTTTTGAAAAAAAATTATTATTTTATGTGTATGAATGTATTGCCTGCATGTGTGTAAGGCACCTGTGTCCCGCAGTACCTGAGGTGATCAGAAGAGGGTATCGGATCCCCCGGAACTGGAATTATGGACAGCCATTAGTTGCCATGTGGGTTCTGGGAATTGAACCCAGGTCTTCTCCAAGAGCAGTCTGTGCTTTTACCCGCTGAGCCATCTTTCCAGCCCCTCATTTATTTTTCTTGATGGATAAAGGAATAACTTTTCAAACACACAAACGATAGCAAAGAGTACCACCAAGTGATAATGGGCACTGCTGAACTTTTGAGTTCCTTCCAGACTGCTGTGAGTTTCCTTCTTTCCCCACACCTTGCTGTCATCTGTTGAACTCTTAGAGGCATGGAGTCTGTTAAAAAGACTCCTCCTCATTACAAAGCATCACCTCAGGCGCTGAAGAAAAACAGAAAGCCTGGGAATACAAACTTGCTTGCTGCACTGGGCTTGCTATAGCCCTGACCTGCAGTTACTCTGTTTTGTCTGAGACCTGGGCAGGGGAAAGACAGGAAGGCTGGACTGCAGAGCTGGAAAAGATTATGAGTCACTGAGTAGACTAGATCCCCGAAACTGACAGAAAGAGTGCTGAAGGGCTGGTTAAAGAAAGAGCACCTTTAATCCCAGCACTTGGGAGGCAGAGGCAGGCAGATCTCTGTGAGATCCTGGTCTACATCGTGAGTTCCAGGTCAGCTGTGGCTACAGGAAGACCCTGTCTCAAAAAGACCAAAAAAGCCCCAAACAAACAAACAAACAAACAAAACCAAACAAACAAAAAACAAAACAAAAAAGAGCACCAAATCTCCTAGTGCTGGTGAGGTTAAGGTAGGAGGACTGTGAGTTGAAGGCCAGCCTGAGCTACGTACTGAGACCCTGTCCCTCACCCCCACAAAAAGATAAAATGAAAGAACACCAACTTGATTTATAAATGGGTCAGATTAAATACCTTCACAGAATTCCTTAAAAAAAATGGCTTGCCCTCAGATTTCCAGAGCATTGGAGTATTTCAAAATTGTGATGGGCTGGTATGATGGCCCAGCAGGTAAAGTACTTGCTACACAAGCCTGACAAACTGGAATCGATCCCAGGACTCCACAGTGAGAGAATTGACTCCCAGAACGTTGTCTTCTGACCTCCACACCATGGTGTGCCTGCCCATCCACACTCACACATAATACACTCACACACTTAATAAATAAATTAATTAAAATTGCCAAGGAGTTGCAATAAAGGGAGAAGCTTGCTGAAAACAATTCATTGCAGGCAGGAAGATCACCTCTGTTTCAGGGCTCAACACCTGCCCTAACTTTCCCCTTAATGCAACTGAGTCTTGCTCCTTTTGGAGTCTCTTCCCCTCTACTGCCTGTGGTTAACCTTCCAAGACACAAGTCTAACTAAACAGTTCCTCTGCTTATGGTCTGGTTCCTGTCCTCTCTCCCACCTCTCCTCCTTGCTGGGAGCCTCGAACTGTAGCAGCAGGAACATGTCCTGGGGCTACTGGGGCCCATTCCTTTCTTTCTTTGCCAAGAAAGCTCAGGCTTCCTTTGTCTACTTGGCAGATCCCATCTCACTTCCCACATCTTAAGTCTTATGAGTTTTTTTTTCCTGGTCTTTTTGAGACAGGGTCTCCCTGTAGCCCCAGCTGGCCTGGAAATCACTATGTAGATCAGGCTGGCCTTGAACTCACAGAGATCGGCCTGCCTCTGCCTCCCAAGTGCTGGCCTGAAAGGCATGTGCCACCATGCCTGGTTGTCTCATGAGTTTTTAAAAAAAATATTTATTATTTTTATTTTATGTGTATGAGTGCATTGCCTGCATGTATGTAAGTGCACCCGTGTTGTGCAATGCCGCGGAGGTCAGAAGAGGGCTTTGGATTCCCCTGGAACTGGAGTTAAGTGTGGTTTGTAGCTGCCATGTGGGTGCTGGGAATCGAACCCGGGTCCTCTGCAAGAGCAGTCAGTGCTCTTAACTGCTGAGCCATCTCTCCAGTCCCTCATGAGTTTTTTTTTAAAAAAGATTTTTATTTTGATATTTATTTATGTGTATGTGTGTGTTTGTGAGTGTGTATGTGCACATGTGTGCAGCTGTGAGAATAGGGTGTAGGATCCCCTGGAACTGGAGTTAAAGGCAGTTGTGAACCACCTGATGTGGGTGCTAGGAACCTATCTCTGGTCCTCTGAAAGAGCAAGTGCTCTTAACCACTGAATAATCTCTCCCACTCCTGTTTTTATGAGTTTTTGAGGCAGGATCTCCCTATATATCTTTTGGCTAGCCTCCAATTCAATATGTAGTCTAGGCTGATCTGGAACTCACAGTCCTCCTGCCGTAGCCTCCCAAAGTGCTGGAATATCAGGCCCACACATGCCTGGTTCCACAGAACTTGGCAACGGGATTTTCCCACTCATATTGTCCTTGAGTAGAGTGGGTCATTTCTTCACAGTGCCTCCAGTTTCCCCTGCACATGTTTCCATTGGGGCCCACAAAAGATGCAGCCCTCTCAAACAGCCTAGGGAACAACGTTTCTCTCTGGCTTTCTGCTGTTCTCATTTGTCTTGTCCATCATTCTTCTCCTACAACAAACAACAGAAACTAGAATTCCTTTTCCTCCAGGCAGGCCACTAGCGATTAGAATCCATCTTCCCCAAAGCTAAGCATAAAAACTAGAGTTCTAGCCATGTGTGGTGCCACACACTTGCAATCCCAGCACCTGGGACGCTAAAGCAGGGGAATAATAAGTTTAAAGGCAGCATAGCCTAGAAAGCAAGACCCTCTCTCAAAAAAGAGCTTCCTAAATGGAACATCTATATCACACCCCTTCTCCAAAGGTTCAGGGATCTTCTTGGAA